ATTAATTTATGGCAGAAATAACAATTATGTTGCACTTATTTGTGCCACATAAAACACCAAGGACAAATATTATCTCACTTCTATGTGTCACAGCAATAAAAAAGGTCAAAAAGAGACATTTTGTTGCTTTATAGACTTAAACTCCTGTTTCTTTGTAGGCTTTTTTTTTTTAAATAAAATAACTGTTTTTATCAGGTTTGAAACTTTTAATTTCTTCCCTTTCACTGTCCTGCTCTTTATACTGTAAGTAAAGGGCTGCATTTGTTGAGGTTTGGACATTGTTATTAAGCTTCTATTTATAGTTACAAGCAGTTTCTTTGACACAATTTATTTGCATTTAGTTGTTCTTTAATTATGCATTCTTCCAAGGATTGAATTAGTACATGACTGCAATCTGCGGTTGGTGTGCGCGTGTCGGGCTGCAGACTGAAGCTGTGCCCGGTCAGGGCCTCTTCGCCAGGACGCTGGTTTTAGACACGTGCGATGGCTTTTCTAGAGTTCAAGCCAGGCTCATGACCTCTGTCCAGCCATCTGACTGTTGTGCTTTTTCTTCTTATCCTTCAATGGAGAAAAGTAAAATAGTTGAGATGAAAGGGTTCTCAAAGTACAGATGAAAAATGATCAAACTTGCCAAGAAGGAGAAATGGATTTCTATTAAGGTGTAGCTCAATAGATTATAGCATAGAAAATGTATTTAATTTAAAGGGCAGATTATGACATAGTTTCACTTGAAAAGGATTTGTTTCTTGGTTAAATGTCATGGCTTTCAGGTAATTGAAACCTGAAATTCAGTTTTTTCTCCATTTTATCTTTTATTCATGCTTGTCGCCTTTTATTTTATCTCAGACCTGGCCGCGGGGGCAGCAGTCTCAACAGAGACTTCAGTCTCCCCAGACACCACCCCCAGTTCCTCTGAAGAAACCTAAGGCATTCCAGGGCAAGCAGAGAGACATAGTCCCTCCATTGTTTCCAGGGTCATCTCCTGGGCCTCCTCCCGGTGGGACATGCCTGGGAAACCTCGTTTTTCTGGTCAAAACCATGACCTCATACTTGGAAGAGCAGATTCTCATCCTAGCCACTTCACACTTTGCTGTGAGCTGCCCCAGTGCAAGCTGTAGGTCTTTGCTAGAGCCAGCAGAACATCTACAAAAAAACAGAGAAATAAATCTGCTTTTCCCCTAATTAAACACCCTCTGGCCATTGGCTACACCCAGAAATCCTCTCCATAAAGGTTATGAACAAGACCGGTGGCAGAGGGCAGCCCTGTTGGAGTCCATCATGCACCGGGAACAGGAGCATGACTTAATGCTCCTTCTCTGCTTGTACAGAGACTGGATGGCCCCTATTAAAGGGCCTTTGAGTCTGTACTCTTGGAGCACCCACTACACGGACCACGAGAGACATGGTCGTCTGTGTTCTCTAAACTCCAGAGGGAGTAGAGGGCGTAAAGCTGGTCCGGTGTTCCACAGCTGGAAGAAAACCGCTACGCTCCACCTGAAACCCAGGTTCAATAATAAGTCGGACTCTCCTCTCCAGCTTCCTGGCATAGGCCTTCCAGGAAGGGCTGAGATGTGTGATTCCCCCCTGTGGTAGAAAACACCATCCAGTCCCCCTTCTTGTGGATGGGAACTGCCAGTCAATGTCACAGACCTCAATATGTGTTGAAGAGTAAAAAAAACTAGAGAGCATTTAGATTATTTTTTCCACTTCTCTTGGGCCACAGAAGCATGCCATGGGAAACATTTCCCTGTAGTTTTTCTTACTAAAACGTTAATTTTATCAAGAAATACTGGAGAAAGTAATTCAGTAGGTATCTTTTCCTCCACGGCTCAGTTTTATTTTAAAACTGAGTTATTGATCATGAATTCAACCTCTTCTTTCTGCTCTCGTCTCAATCCCATCACAATGATTTGCTAATTACTTGCCCTCTATAACCTTTATTTGTTGTCAAACTAACCTGCTTCAAAGAGAATGCCTGATCATATGGTAGCAGATAATGGAAACTAATAAATCATTAAATTTTTTTGAGCAAAGTCACCATAGAGATGGATATTATAGTAGGATTTTCTGACTTATTACTAGTTTGTATTTTGTTACAGTCAAATATTTACCTTTTAAAGTAGATAACTAGTTTGACTGGTAAGACCAAACTACTTCCAAAGCTGTCAATGTCTAGTGACTCTCTACTTTAAAATACTTGTCCCATATAGCAAAAACTGTAAATCCAAATAAGTTATTTTCTTGAATAGAGGTGGTAAGACAATTATTCCAAGTGCATAATATCTAGTTATCATATTTTAAGGGTAAAAAAAATCCCATTTGCAGATCATCTTCTTTACCCACTTAAATTAAGGGTAAATAAACTTATTTAGATTGATTTGCTTTGCAGGGCTTGTTCCTGTTCTTGCATCTTTAAAACTGGGTACTCATGTGGCCTCAATCATACCCAGTAATGCTGAGAGAGATGGTGCTCTAGAAGTAGCCTCATCTGCTGCTAGACTACTTGAAAGAGGTCAGAATGAGGCAGTTTGCACAATATGCATATAAAATGGCTCATTACTTATTTCTTCCGGGACTTAATCTCCAAATAGTGCATTCACACTATCCCCCCTCCCTCATTGTTAGATGGCTTGATTGTATACGTACGTCTTTATGGAGAAAGAAGACTTCTTGCATCTATTTTGTTAAAAGTGAGCTCATTTAATATTAATTTGCTTATCCATACTCCTTTTCCCATAAGTGGATTCATCCATTAATGATGATTAATGAAGTTCTATCAGATTAAGAGTTTAAGATTTTTAAAACTACCAAAGCGTTCCTAAATTTTGGCTCTTCATGCCTGGCATCCCGCACCTTTTTATATTTCTCTGCATCAACGCACCCAAGTCAGAAAATCAGGTGACTGCATGCTGAGAGGTAATTCAGCCATTTGTTTCGGGTGTTGAAGCAGAGAAATGTCTATAAGGTGCAGGACGCCAGACCTCAAGGACCGGAATTGAGGAAGCCTGCTCTATGTTGCAGTTGCCTTTTTCCTGTTTTTAAACTCTTTCAGAAACAAAGTTTTCCCCCGACCAGTTAATAAATTCAGCATGGGAAATTTGGAAATTAGAGATAAAAAATCTTGGTCTTTGACGCATCTTTGCAGTAGCTCTGTGAAAAGAAGACAAACTTTAACCGTGTCTTGTTTTTCTGTCAATACTCATCAGTGTCTTAATTCTTTACTGCTGTTGCATAATAAACAGCTGGTATTTTCTAAAACTGGTTTACTGAAAGCCAGACTGTATCTGACAGAAGGCAGAAAACTTTGAAAGTTTGTTTTATTTAATTCTCTCTCTTGCGGATCATTTCACATGGTGGTATTGTTATTGCCTCTGATCATTGTTATCCTAGTGGTATTATTCCAGACTTGCCCTAAGGTAGATGAACTGGTTCCCAGGGCTTTTACCCAGGATCCCAGTGTTCTGTAACTTTATCCCTGTTTAGTGAGCTCGGTCTCTTCCAGAGTGGTCAGATCTAGGTTTACTGAGAAAGTAATCTTTAAGTACATACAAGCTCACACACTTAATTGTCATATCTTGTGAACTGTAGTGCAGGGATTACCTCCTCCGCTAACAATGTGAGCATTTCAGTTTCTTTGGCTGACTCCTAGATATTCTTTTAATTTCAATGCCTCTTTTATAAATCCCTTAGTGTCAACAAGGTCATAGATATGATTGCGCTCAGACATCAGGAGGATTTATCAGGGCTCTTGATTTTATTTCTGTCTGCTAAAGTAATCTTAGCATATTGACAGCAAAGAGAGGAGGTCAATCCTTTACTCTTGGACTACAATAATGACATTTATGATGTTTGTGAGATGCTTTAAAGTTTCTGGAGGTCTGCTTTGCTGCTTATCATTAGGTCGCTGCACAGTAGCATTGTTATCGTGCTCTTATCTCACTAAAGCAATAATGACCTTTTTAAAGTATCTGGGAATTGCTACAAGGCCTAAAATCTAGTAAATGTTGTCAGATGTTTATTTAAGCCTATTGGTCTGCATCTATCACCACAATGCTGCCAAGTATATCGTAATTCACTTAGGTGTTTCCCATCTAAAATAGGTATTGATATGAGGATTAGAGCTAACAATATCCTAAATAAAAATGGCTTCCCATAGTTTAGTTGGGTGTTGCCATAAAGAGAGGGGTGGGTATCATGTGGGAACCTGAAGCTGAGCTGTTACTACTTTATATCAAAGCGAGTCGCCTGTGGTTGTTTGGCCATCCAATCAGTACACTATAAGGGCAGATCTGGTAGCAGGCTCATCAAGGATAGGCTACATATCCTTCATGGTCTGGGAATCCTTTTGGATCACCCAGAACAAGCTGGAGTAAGAGAATTAGAGTAGAAAGGCACCTCTGGGTTTCCGTACTGGACTAGTTGCCCTGAAACTTGACTTCTGACAAAAAAAAAACATGATTATTCTTTAACCAGGTTAAAAAAACAAAAAAATATAGACATTTTTGCCATTTTTTCCCTCTAAAGTTTAAGAAGGCACAATACAAGCTTGCCTTAAAACTCAGTTTTAAAACATTAAGAATCTTTGCAGTCTTCAGGCTTTGATTGCTGGACCTTATTCTAGATACAGCTGCTCCAAATTGACTATCGGATAGCTGAGGTATATTCTCAGAATTCAGTCGATTGCTTCTAATTTCCTAATGGCAGTGTTCCTTATTAGCTTGCAAATTTATTGAGAAATTGAAAAAAATCAGTTTTCAGAATCATCAAGCCCTAAATTGGGCAAACCAATTGTTTCATAAAAGGAAAGTTGGGCACTAATCCCTTTTGTGAGTCAGAAGCAGTCTGATGATTTTGTGGTGTATATTTAATCGCTACTAGAATGTGATTTAATAATAAATTCTTTCTATTTCACATGTGATGGACTATATTAAAATGATATGCTATCTGACTTTAGTTGACTGTGGTCTTATGAAATTACTCTTCAATTTGTTTCTCACCAGGTTATGCTGCCCAAAAGTTGTCTGAGTCCCAGCGAGAAAGAGAAGGGCTAAAGCTGCACCAGTCCAAACCAGAGCCTAAAAGCAAGCAACTTCCCCTGCAGAGCCATGAGCAACCCCAGCACACCGAACAAGGTTACAGATGCCGTTTCTTCAGTTGTACATGGGGTAAGTTTACTGCTCAACATCTAGGGAAGCCCCATTCAGGTCAAGTCATGCCATTTTTTTTTCCAAATCAGTTCTGTTAATGAAGCAGATTAATGCTCACAGCAGTTCACTCCACTGTTTTACTTAAAAAGTTTCAGTTCTCCTTCTGTGTGCAGGATTTGTGCTGCATCAGCTTCCTTGTTACCATTTGGCACAGAAGTTTGTGCTTTACAAACTTTGTCACATTTTTTGCTGCATTTGGGCCAGTCTAGTTTCATTTAAATTCTATTCAACTTGAGTCCAAAAACTGAAAACTTCCAAACTGAATAAATAATGAAAAACTGTGAAATAATATGGCCACACAGCTTTTAAAAGTAATCCTGTTATAGATGTGATGGAAAGCCCTGGAAACAGTTGGTCGGCAGCCAAAGAACACTTCATCCCTGTACTACAAGGGTTTTCATCTCACTAGGGTCATCCCATTATTAATTTTTGTGGAGTGCCAATGTAAAACGCCTGAGGGGGAAAAAAACAGCTTGAATATTACTAGAAATACTCAGATTTGGAAGCTTTGATAATACCAGGGTAGAATTCCAGGAATTAAATCTGTTGTTTTTAATTATATTTTGTTGAAGATACATTTCACAGCAGCTGTTATGAAACCGGGGATTTCCTAGAAAGGCTGCTCTCATTTCTGATGGTTTGGTTTGCTAATATAGCGGAGAAAATGCTGACCTTGCAAAAACTGTTGGCAAATGATTTTTGTATCCTTGTGTGCCTAAGATACACAACAGCTTTAGTCATTAGTGCTGCAACTAACAATTATTTTGCAGATCAATTAATCGGGTAGCTAAAGGTTCCTTAAAGAATATCTTTTATTAAATTAAGCCAGATGAATCTAAGTTTTCCACTTGAGTGGAAATTATATATTTTTTCATTTTAAATGCAAAATGTTATACAGTTTTTGTATAGTTACTGCTCTAAGTGGGTTGCTCTTTCAGCTAAAGACATATCTTACAATCTCTATTAGGGATGCACGATATTGGGATTTTGGCCGATATCCGATATGCCGATATTTTAAAACTCATGTAGCCGATACCGATGTTAAAGCTGGACAAAAATAAGTAGTCATTGAAAATAGCAGTTTAGTTATCTATTTCTGACACTTTGAAAAATAATATACTCAAATATATTTATTATGCTGATATCAAATTGATTTTTAAAAACGCGGTATCGATCTATTTTACTTTCAAAATCTCATGAAATTTTATTGTTCTGTTACAAACTCTCGTGATATTTTGCAAATTCTTGTGAGATTTTGTTAGTAAAATAGGTCGATACCGCGTCAATATATCAACATATAAAAACATGGCAAAATTTCGTGAATTTTCTGAGGATTTCGTAGCATAACGATGATATATAACAATATTTCATTAGTAAAAGAGATTGATATGGTGTTCTTAAATGGCAATATGTCAGCATATGAAGATATTGCGATAATTTAATGCATCAATAATTTCCCCTCATCTTTAGAAGTCTTTAAAGGTATACTATGCAACCGGGGTTGATTTTCCAGCGAGGCTCCCCCCAGAGGGCGAAAGTAAAAGTGCACTTGCTCAGCTGTTCTCCTGGTTTCTCCGTCAAGCCAGTCGCGCTTGTTTTGAGCTTAGCAGACAGGCGAACGCAACGAATGACTAACACAGTGAAAGTATGAACATGCACACAGAGAGAGAGAAACCATTCCAATGTTACTTACAATCGCATTAGCAGAAACGCGAGGTCCGCGTCAGCCTTGCAGTCTTCTTTTTCTTTTAGCTCTCGCCATTCGGAAAAAGCTTGCCCGATGTTCACCCGTGTACGACTCCTCTCTCTGTCCAGAGCCCTTTTCCTCTTTCTTGCCTGCTCCGACATGGGCTTTCACTGTTTTCTCTCTGGTTCCGCCATGATAACTGCACAAAGATCGCCACTGCGCTAGCAACGAGCATGCTTTTCACTGGGGGCGTGTAGCAGTTCTCGCCGTAAAGCAAGACCGACTCTCGCGAGACTTCTGAGCCTGTGGGTGCGGGCCGAGGGCTCCTGCAATTGCAAGTGTGGTATTTCCCCCACAGACCACCAGGGCGGCCGAGAATACCTTTGTTCATTGTGAAATGACTCATTTAATCATCCAAAACATTATGGAACACATTAATTAACTGAAAAATGTTGCATAGTATGCCTTTAAGTCTGTAAAAAATAAGTTTTTGAGGAAGAAGTAGTATTTATTATTTTTTTTTTAGACTTTAGAAACTCAGAAGCTGATCAAATATCGGGTTAAATCTCTATACTTCAGTTAACGATTACTCGATTGCTAAATTAGTTGATGATTATTTAAATAAACGATTAATCCGATTGTTTCCGCCCTAAGTCATTATTCCTAATAAAATTGCTACTTTCTTTCCTTGGACAATCTTAAATAAAATAATTTCTTTTTGTTTTTTTTGCAGAAAGCTTTTGCTATTAGGATGTACACTTGGCTTACTAAGTTGCTATCTATTTTGAGCTCGGAGCCCACTAATTACTGCAGGACATCCCATTTTTTTTCCTCTAACACTTAAGCACTTTTCATGCTTTTCTTTCATAGTGATAGGGTTCCATTTCTAAACTATTCAATCAACGTATATTCTTGAAACGCAGTATATTTGAAGAGCTTAATCAGTTGTTTATTTATTTTTTTTGTCTTGCCTTAAAAAAATTAAACTTAAATAATCTAATGTATTATGTTCAATATAGCTACAATTCTTGTCTAACTCCTTTTGCTGTGATGGCTTGATAAGTAGCCCCAACAAATATTTTTTTACCTTTCCAGTTATTAGTGCATAGAGTAGATGATATGTTAGGAAGAGTTGACCTTATGCTGTATATTTTTGGTTCTTTGCTTTGAATGGTGTCAAAGTCTATCCAATACAAGGCAGGGATATTTTAGTGCAACACAAATAACCTGTTTCTTGGTTCATGCACAGGTGGACTGTGAAAAAACACTGAATCTCTATTGTTTGTTGTAGCTCACTTTCTTTCTCAACAAATGGCCTTACCTTTTCTTTTTGAGTTATTTTAACTTCTGTGTTGTCCATTACAATAATGACTTTAGTCATTAAAAAATATAGTTAAACACTCACTATAGCTCAGCTTTATATTTTGCTTTTATTGCACCAAACACCATAGAATACAACTTTGGTAGGCTTTGCTAAACACCATGTTATATGTGGCAAACTGAGATGGGTGATACACAGTATATATAGGACATATCGGATGCGATGTTTCGATATTTTCATTTCAAAATGAGACATTTAAGCAGGTTTGATCCACATGAGCTTAATCAGTAATTGTTTTTCTAATGCAAACATATTTTAAATATAGTTTATGGACATCAGTTTGTCACCCTTCTGATTTACCAGAGTGCAACAACACCTCCACGACCTAAGGTGGCCAATGCTCAGGCGTTGGTAGCAATTTTGTGGATGAATGTTATTTCTTCACCATAACATTGAAGCACCATAATGATGGGTAACAGCTTGGAAGAAGACTTGGCTGAGATTGAAGTATAAAATGAGCAATCCTCCACATTTCCTTCACATCTCTGAGGCACTGACCTAAATGCTAGGATGTTACCCAAGCTTAAATAAATCTTGGTAAACCTTGGATCTGCCATTATCTTACACTGAAGTCGTAACTAGCCTAGCCTCCAAAAGGGAGATGTGCTGAGGTGTTATATATATTTGTTTCAAGTAAAGGAATACCTCATAATTTGCTGGTTGTAAGGTGGACATTCACTCAGATTTGGGATCGACCTTTACAGATTATTTAAAACCAAAGTATGAAAGTTTTATCGTTTTGCTGAACATAAGTTTTGAACTTGACTTTAACAACATTAACAATCCTGCTCCAAATTGTGGATTCCAAGTTTCGAGAGCAGCTGAGCTCCACTTACAGAACAATGTGGATTCTGAGCTGGGGATCCCCCAGTAAACAAGCAGCATCATTATTTAGTCATAATGCTTATCATTTAAAAAGCGTTTATCTGGAACCTGATTTTAAAAAATTGGATTATGTTTTCAAAATTTGCTTTGTAGCTCTTGGGTTCTGTTTATTGGCACTCATTAGCGATAGCAACTCAAAATAAAACCAGTTCTACAACTTTTACTGTTGCTGCATCCCACCTGCAACACGCTTTAATCAAATGTCTTAATTTTCTTGTCAGCCTATCATTTGTCTCTGTAGATGCCTGTTAACAATCATTCATTCATATATTATTGATCCATGCACATTTATTGCAGTGTTCCATGTAAAACTCATAGGATAGTACTTCTCCAAATGGGATTTGAGCATCAGTGTTTTGGCTGGAAAAATTGTCAATCACGGTTTCCCTGCTGCCATAATAAGGCAAATGAAAAACATTTCCCTGTCATCTTGTAATTTCCTGTTGGAGCAGGTACTGATCAATGTGACTCTCTAATGTCAATCACAAATGCTGATCAAAACCTCCTGAGGCATCCAGGGAGCATCCAGAAAAGACGTCCAAGCAACCTCAGGTTACTGTTCTCCATCTTGTGGCGAAGCAGTTCTATTCTGAGCCTCTCCCAAATTACCAAGCTCCTCACCCTATCTCTAAGGGAGGACCCAGCCACCCTGCTAGGAAAGCTCCTTTCGGCCGCTTGTATCTAGGATCTTTTTTTGGACATGATCCAAATTTCATGACATCAGGTGAGGGGGGGTATCTTGTCGACCCCCCCGAAGCCTTACCTTGCTTAATTTTTTTCTTTGCAGCGTATTTTAGTGCAAGACGATTCAAAGTTCTGTACATGGATAAAACATCATAGCAAAATACAAAAAAGTACATTACACTGACATAGAGTTAATGAAATGAGTATTGTTTTCAATGAGACCCAGGCCACTTAGCTACGTGGTCCTTAATCCGCTACGCATCTGATCTTTTTCAAATGCAACCTGTGTCTGAGGGGTCATGTTTTTTAAAAATCTCTGAA